CGCGGCCGGCGGGGCAGCAGCGGCGTTCCCTCCTGTGCCCTGCGAACCGCCCGGCGCCGTGTCTGCTCCCGGAGTCACCGGGAACGGGGTGGGGGGGCTCCGTTTTGCAGAGAAATAACGTTCCGTTTCGGGAGCAGAACGCGCCTGGGCCGTGCAGCGAGCGCTTCACATGGCTTCTGGGGAGACGAGATGAGAAGTCGTAATTGAAATTCTGCTGTAGTAAATTTAAAATTAATTGGCTAACAAATTCCATTTCTTAGGCATGCCATCTGAGGCTAAAATACTTAATTCTTTTTATATGTTTTAAATATTTTATCATATACTATCGTAATTCAAAGTCAGAAAATATTCAGAAATATTTTAAGTACTGATAAGGAGGGAATAGGTTTCATTATTTCAGTTCTGGGTTTTTTTGTTATATTAAGACCTGGTTAAAGGTGCTTTGCATCACTTAAATTCTCTCAGATGTCTGTTTAGTGTTATTTTACCACATTGTACAGGAATTACAGGGCTGAGAACTTCATGTGCTCTTCAGCTCTCGGATGTGAGCTGGAGCGGGCATCCCCCTGCGCTGCTGGGGGGGTGTGGGGGTGGGAGCGTGTCTGCCCCCCCGGCTCCTGCCTTTGGAAGGGGCTTTTCTTCTGCCCGGGCTCCCACGGGGAGTTTGGCTGTCCCGAGTCGCCCCGCCGGGCCCTCTGTGCCCGCGCTGGGGCAGCAGCCTGGGGCTGGCTGAGAAACTGGAATCGTGCTGTGTGTTCTTTTTTATTCCAGTTAAGGCATATTGTTTAAGGATCTATTCAACTAAAACATTTATTTTTTAAAAGTGGCCTAATTTTTATAAAAACAATTTTTAATACATTTTCTGTCATTGGAAAAGAGCTTTTTAAGTAGTATCATCTTTCCTTCGGTGATTTGCTTTAAGAGGAGGAGATTTGGCACCTGAATCTTCAAGTCTACAGTTAACTGCCATGTGTATGAAAATAACTCATTTGAAGCAGCAGCATCTGTACATGCTGATGGTTGATGCAGTTCAGTGTTATCATTGTACAGATCTCTGGAAAAAAGATAAAATCCATCAATGATTTTATCTCACTGACCCTTTCTGCCCCTGGCAGCCACTGGGGTGCCGGGCGATGCCAGCCTCCAGCGGGCACATGGGCTGCAGTCAGCCTGGAGAGCAGCGCCGGTCGCTGCCGCTGCGTACGGAAATCCTCGCCCCGCGCTTGGGGAGCGCAGCCCTTTGAGAAACGTGCCGTTGGCAGAGGTAGAAAGAGCGGTGCCCGCGGGCCCTGCCCGGCCGGCCGCCGCTCGTGGGGCTGCCGGTGGTGCACTGCCCCCCGCGAACAGCAGCCGGGGTGACGGTCACAGCAGCCCGTCCTCAGTCCGCGAGGAGCCACGGAGAGAGCGGAGTGAAGGGCAGCGAGCGCGTCGGGAAGGATGCCCGGATAGTGCGATGCAGATGCGCAGCGAGGTCTGAGGGGTGTTTCTTACAACAGGCAATGCCCTGTCCCGTGGCATGGGCAGGTGTTTAACAGGGGCTCATCTAACGTGGGAATAACACAGAAGTGTTGGACAGCGGTTTGTCAGGCAGCGTTGTTAGCTGGAAATGACTGGAATATGTTGTTTTCTTGCACACCATCCTCCAGCTCTCCGTGGCAGGGCCCATCCCTCTGGCGAAGAGCTCTGAGACATAAACATCTACCTGCCTTACGTCTGGGGCGCGAGTAACCTTGTGTTAGTTGAACGTGATAAGCCACCGCTTTGTTAGAAAACAGATGATTTTACAAGTTACTTTATGTTTCAGGTCCTCAGTATCGGCTGGAGAAGCAGAGTGAACCTAATGTCCCAGTAGATTTAGACTGTACCTTGGAGAGCCAGAGCACTTTGGAATTCTGCCTTGTCCGGGAGAACAGTATGTTTCCCCTTTTCACTTTTGCTCTTGTAAATTGCTTAAACTCAACATAAGTTATGTATTTTGGAATATGAGCTGTACTGTCTGGGCAAGTAAGTTTTGACGAGACTCTCTTTCCTGAGGCACTTCTCAGTTGTGCCAAAACAATATTCCAGAGGGAAATGATGGATTTCATACCTTCTAGTAAACAGTCTGCATCCTGTTTATCACTTCATGATTAATCTTTTTCTGTTAAACTCTGCTCTGTAAAGTTATGACCAACTCTGAAAAACACTGGAAATATGAAACTTTTTCTGTTGCAGGCGTCGCACAGTGAGTAAAGCGACTGGGCTGCAGCATGTTTTGCCGTGTCAATACGGCTGTTAGAGGCACTGATTTTTCTCTAATAGAATTTAAAGAAATTAACTGTGCAGATATTACTAGAGCAGTATGATGACTTTTAAAGTGCTAGACAAATAATCTTCTCTCCAGCTATGCTCAAATGTTTGTATTCTGTTACTGTTTTATTGGTCCTGATATTATTTTCTGATTTATTTCTTTACAAGGAATTATATGAAACTTTAAAAAAAAAAAAAAGGACATTTAACATTGATTTATGTTTGTTCTCCATAGCATTTTGGTCCGTCCTTCATTCTTTCCAACAGTCATGCTCTCAGTTTTGGGGTTTTTGCATTCCATTTTAGTTCAGCTGTAAAAATGTTGATTGTACTAATGAAGAAACCAGGAGCATTCGTGATCTCAGCCGAGACCATGCTCAGAGCGTTTGCTGCAAACAATCACAGTAAGAGCCTGCTTCAAGTAGTGGAAGAGTTTTTTCTTTCTTTACAGAGATTAGACCTTTCCATTTATGCTTTTTGGCTATAGCATTTCATATTTTATGCTGGAGTGACAGGAGAGCATCCCCAAAGTACCTCCTAATCCAGTGGTGAGTAGCAGACTGCTGCCACGTAGGAGCAGCCGAGGTGAGACGCAGCTGCCAGAGCTCTCCGGTGGCGCGTCGGTGCTCAGCTCAGATTAAGCGCTCACAGTTTTGGCTGCCGTTCTCCGCTCCCAAAATATTCTTGATGCTCCTGGTTCGTTTCTTCATGAAATGGCTCTGAGAAGCCGTAGGATCGAACGCGGCAGAAGGCAGCAGGGGAGCTGTGCGCGAGGAGATGGAGCCGGTTTAACCTCTAATCGAGTCGCGCTCTTCCACAAGCCAGAATTCCCCGACGTCTGCATCCTGGCTCTTATTTTTGTATCGATTTTTAATCTAGGAAGAGGTGCATCCTAGTCATACTTTTCATACTTTAAGTATTGCACATTTTGATTAAAAATAACGTTTTTTTTTTCTCCAGGCTCTGTAATTAAAAGTGTATTGCTATGTACTGCATTTTTAACGTATTTTCATCATCTGTGGAGGAATCCATGCTGTGGCTTGTAGCTGTATCTACTGATGCCCTTAGCTCTCACGAGTGACGAGGTTCAGGCTGCACCGTTACTTTAACAGTAAATTTTAAGTTTGTATGTGGTTTAGCAGGAGGCATTCAGTCTACTCTGCATCAGTAGCAAACGCTCCAACAGAGCCTCAGAGGCTTTGTCTCAAAGCACGTCAGTTGGAATGTTGGGGGAACACTTCTCCCTTTCCTTGAGGTCCTTGTGCGGTGGCACGACGTCTCCTCTCCCCTCCTCAGAGAGGGGACACAAAAGCAAGCAGCTCTGCAGAACAGAACGTGGAAAGGTGTAGGGTAAATCCCTGAGGCTGTCAAGTCAAAAATGCTCTCAATTCTTGAGCTCTCCTGACCTTCATTAAGCAAATTGATGGTGCCCATCTAAGAGCCTGACCTGGAGCTCTGCTGGGGCCCGAGGGCTGCCCGGGCTCCCGGCACAGGAGGCTGCGGCCACCTCCTCCCCGGCCGCAGTGGCATCGGTGGCTGAGTGGTGGCTTTTTGTCCTGTTCCGACTGTTTGTCAGCCAGTGCCTGGAACACGGCACAGCAAAGGCAAAACAGCCACTTTGACTGTGTAGAGTTCAAGAGCAAAGTCACTGGTTTGGTTTGTTCAAGGCTGGCAGTAACGTGGGCAAAGCAATAAATGCTCACAGGAATTCTGTCTCCCTTCTGCTGTGCTCTGACCGAATGTTTTCTGAATTGATACCAAACTCAAATAAGGAATGTGGGAGAAATCTTCTGCTTATAGTTTCTCCCCCAAAATATGGGTGAATTCAAAGTGATCTTCCATTGTCCCTGCCTGGGGACGTTTGTGGAACAGCCATGCAGTTACCTCTCTGCACGCACAGGTGTTCAAGGACACTACAGGGTCTGAGCTGAGCCGTAGCTCATGCATTGTGCATAGGCTGGTTCCCCAGTACGCGGTAAGAAATGGGATTCTGCAGTGCTTAAGGAGCTGTCTTTTGGTGTGGCCTTAGAACAGAAATATTGGCAGGTTTGCACTATTAGTAAAATAACAGCTTGAAAATCCGAACATCAAAATGAAATGTTAATTTTGTGCATTTTGTCTTTATTTAAATATTTTCAGCGTAGATATGCCAGTCAGGAAAAGCTCTGTTGTAACAGCTAGTATTTTTAAATGTGCTCTTCATAGTCTCCTTTTCATTTATAAATGTATATACACGTATGATGCCAAACATCTGCTAGTAAAATAGCTGCCAGATTCCTTTAGACAAATAGAAAGTTTATATTTCAGAGTATTAAATGAAACAGAAAACTTTCCATCATTAAGAGATACATATGGAGATACCCCCTATCTATCCAACGTTTACTAGTAGCATTTGAACTAATAAACTGGTTCCAGTATGGAGAACTTTTTAACTGGCACTAAGATTTATCTTTAAGCTAAAAGCCTGCAGTTTGTAATGTGAAATGCTTTTATGTGTAGTAGCAAACTATTCATGGCTAATTTAGTTTTATTCTTACCATCTTACTTCTGGAAAGTTCCTCTTTCTCATTTTATCATTAGATAGTAATTAGTATTCAAGGGAAATTGGTCTTAATATATTAAAATTGGTTTAGTGCCTTTAGACCTGTACCAAAGCCAGTGTCTTATTGGAAAATGTAATTGGGGACTCTCTGTATGTAATTAATTGTATTACAATTGAGAACTTTCATTAAGCAATATACCAGCACATTAAAGTAATAAGGGACATTTTTGCAATGCAGTTAACTTTATATTTTGTTGTTTTATCGAGGAAATACAGGTTCACTTGCTCTTGAATAGGCTGCATACGGCATTTCAATATTCTGATATTACTAATGTGTCATTTTTATATGTCCTCTAGTGCTTACAGGAGTCCCTTTTGGATAAGGCTCTTTGGTTTAGCTTCTAACTTGTTTTCTGACTTGTGCTTCTGGTGCCTATTGTTTCATTACTGTTTGTCTCATTAGAAAATCAGAATTTTCTATGAGGAAATTGGACTGAATTACGAATATAACTGTTTCACAGTAGTTCAAGAACTTGGACAAAAATACTACCTCTATGCTGAACCCATTTAAAAAAAAAAAAAACAAACCACAAGAAAAACCCCAACAACAGAGTAAAGATCTTCAACTATTGTTTCCACAGTGGGAAATATGTCCATTTTCTGGATGACCATCAAATGTAGGAGTGCAAACTGGTGCCATAGCTGACTTCTAAATCATGGTAGTGCTTCAGCACAGTCGCCATCTCACAGAGCATGTGTCGCCCTCGATACCATTTTTGCTTTTTATTCAGCTTCTGTGGGCAGAAAACACCGCTCTGGTTTTTTTTTTTTAAGTGGGAGGCTGTGGTTTAGTATTTTGTGTGGTTCTGCTGCACAAGCACTCTGAGCACAGACGGAGAGCTGGTGAGCATCAGGTGGATACAGAAAAAAGGCACACAGCAGCGTGGAACGTGTACGCGTCTGCGCGGGATCTCCCTCCGTCCAGCACCGTGTGTTCTGGCACAGCGACCTCGGTTTTAGGTTTGAAAACCCCATTTCTGTGAGAACATGGTCAGCCGTGCGGTGTCTGCGGTTCCGTGCAGGAGATGGAGTCTGCGGGCACAGCCCGACAGTGCTCGGCACGGGGCCGGACCCGGCTTCATCGTCACCTCCGTTGCAGGTGGGGCAACGTGCGCGGTGTGCGCGCAGCCCTGAGCGCGGGCACCGCTCTGCCAGGGCGCTTTGTCGCCGCTGCTGAGCACGAGTGACTGTTGTGAGCAGAGCTGGTGACGGGTTGGTCTCAGAAGTCACCCCGGCAGTGCTTGGTGTGGCTGTGGGCAACAGCCTCATCCTGCCCCTGTGCATGTGCTCCAAAGGTGGGTGCCAGGATGGGCACCAGGCGTGGCAGTGCCAGGATGCTGGAAAATCAAGAGCATCCCTGTTTAGCTGTGCTCTGTCCCTGGCTTGGGGATGGTGGCGCAGAGGCACAGGCTTCCTCTTGGCCGTTCTTTTCCTGCTCTGCTCATGGATTTTCCTGCCTTCTCCAGTAGTTAATGCCCTGTCCGGGGCTAAGGGAAATGTCTCCATCCGAGCTGTGCTTTGTGCTTCATGCAGGGTCTTATCTTGAGCCTTGTTTATCCAACTCCTGACTCCAGCTTCTCTCACCTTCTCTTTCACAAAGTAATCTTTGATTAGGTAAACTATACGGAAAAAATACAGAGGTCATTGCGAGCCGAGTCTCCATGTCATTATGTGAAGGATTTTATTCCTGGAATAGGAAATTGCTCCTCCCAGGATGGAGTATTGTCTCTGCGGGCAGAGCCCTATTGCTGGGTCGGCTCTTGGGCTAAATAATAGACCTGGAGCATCCACTTTACTTGATTGTCTTCCCAAGCAGAAGCTTTTACATTCAAAAGCCACACTGTGATCTCCATTACAAATACCCTGACAGGCCTGTAAATATTTGACAGGTTTATTCACAGCTGCTTGCATGTGGAAAATATTTTTATGATTTTTCCCCCAATCAGCTGGTGGAGATGGCTCTTCGCTGCGCGGCCGAGCGCCGGCAGTCTCGCAGACATGCTCAGAGCTGCGGGTGAGAGCAGCATGCCAAGTTCTGCAGGCAGGTTTTTCCCTGCAGGGCATTTCTCGCTGCTGTTACTGATATTACTGCGATTATCCCGCGCACCCGCAGGGCCCCGGTGCCTTTGCCATCCTCAGACAGATGATCTGTTTTGATGGTGGAGTTCCTGGCTGCTCTCCCAAGAGCAGCAACTGTAGAAATTCTGTAAACCTGAATCCATTCACAGAGCTCCATAAAGCAAAGTCGGCAGAGGTTACGGATGCACGGAGGATCTGAGCAGCTTCCCGAGCGCGATCCCGCTGTCGGGCTGCTCCGGCCGCGGCAGTTAGTGCTCCCGCAGGCTGACGCCAACAAGGGGCTCACAACTTTAGGCACAGGGACAGTTTTTTCCCCTGGCTGTGATCTGACAGGCTGCTAATTTTCTTTCTAATACTTTTAATTTGGGTGTGTGAAATCTGAGAAGACTCAGCTTCATAGCGGCCGCGTGAAGTCGACGGTCGTGTCCCGCCTTGCCGGAGTGCGGCGCGGACGGGGCGGTCGGCGGGTCGGGGCCCGCGGGGTGATGGGGGCGCAGAGGCTGCAGCACCTGCAGAGCTCCTGTGAGTCTTCATCTTGTGAGGTGTTTCAGGGGCGCTTGGCAGGAGGTGGCGTAGCCCGGGCAGGGATGGAGCCATTGTTATCTGAGTTTCCTGTCGCTGCCAACTCAGTTTGCCTGTTGGCACTGACACTTCTTCACACGTGACGCTGTACTCAATGCCCTGCTGTGCAGTGCTGCCCCTGGCACAGAGGGGAGGGTCTGTCCCCCGCCGTTAACACGCTGCCGCGCTGCAGGCAGGCAGCGGGCGGACCGGGAACTGGGCACTGGGCACCATGCACCGGGCACCTCGCTGCCGGGAACAGCTCAGGGGGGCAGCTTCTCTGAATCCCAGAGCGGGGCTTCATTAGGGGCAGCACTAACGACCTCGCCGCGGATGGGGATGTGTGGGGCTCAGGGCTCCTCTCCGCCCGCAGTGACCCCTCTGCGCTGCTCAGTTTCACGCCGTGTCGCTGTCCCAGGGGATCCATCCCAGCCCTGCTGGGTGCCCATCTGTCCGTCTCAGCCCCACTGGGTGCCTGTCCGTCCGAGCTCCCCTGCGGGCAGGGGCATACCACGTGTGACCGCGTGGTCCCGCCGTGCCGCGTACCCCAGCGCGGCGTGCCGGTGTGACCGCGTGCTGCGGGGACAGGGCTGGCGCCTCACCGGGAGCTGCTGTCGGGGCCAGACGGGCCTTTCGCCGTTTTCCGTGGGTGGAAGAGGGTCCCGGTTGGCTCTCGGCTGCCGAGCAGCGGTGCTGCCGCCGGCCTCCCGCTTTGCTTTCAGGCGCTGCCGTGCCACGCTGCTTCAAGATGCTTTTAAGTGCACCAAAAAGTTTGACATATCTCAGTGTATCTTTGAAGTAGTGCAGCGCGAGGGTTTGACATGATACATTATGATAATCCACGGTATAGAGACATTAACACAGGGGTCTTTGACAAAATACATTGTAATGTCTCTGAAGGAGCCATTACAATTTATCTTGTCATTCTGGAGCATAGAGTGGTTGCAATGTTAAGATGGCTCTGCATAAATTCACATGTAGACTGTTTCATTTGATTTTTGGAATTCTTTCAAGTCGAATGGCACAGCCCAATATGTAGCTTAACCCTTCGCTGTCCCTCTTCCCCAAATAGAGGTCGGCAGGGTCGGGCTGAGACACGTGCCGGGGTTTTCCTCCTCTGGGAGCAGTGGCCTTTCCTGGCAAACCCTCGCCTTGTCGTCGGGGCCCAAGCATGGAAACTCGCCGCAGCTTCCCTGCGAGCTGAGGTCTCCGAATGCAATGGGAATGTCCATCTCCAGAGGGAGAGATCAGTGCGGGAAGCGGTGGTGTTGAGGCTGCTCCAGCTGTGCAAGTCTCCAGCAAAATGGATAAAAAAAAAAAATCTGACAAGTTCTTACCCCGCTTTGCTGGATCTTTAAGACCTGTACTAAAATTCCATCATCTCATCTTCCCATTATTAAAATTTCAGCAAAATATAAAGTTTTCATTAATCTCCTGCAGCAAATTTAGTACTCCGAACTGGCAGTTGGTTCGGCTTTTAGGACTGCATTAGCTGGGATATTAAACAAAACGTGTCATTCTTCAGTATCTTCTGTAAGAAGCTAAATCAGTTTTCAAACATATTTATACCACTTTATCTAACAGCATCTGAATGATCATTTAGAGCTGAGATGCTTTATTAGCAGCTGGCGTAGAAATTACTCTGCGCAAAATTATATATCGCATTATAGTAATGTTTAAATTGGTGTTAATCCAACGTCATAAAATGTAAAAAAATCTTTAAAGTGCGTTATATTTTTTCAGTAATTGGCATTTTGGCTTAATGAGATGTTACCTTTTATAAAGCCAGTACCTGCCGTAGTAATGAGAATACTAATCAGTAAATAAAGCACAGCTCCGTTACGGCGGGGGGG